AGACACATCACTTTGCTGGATATTTCACTGAACAAAACTTCACAGGCCATGCCTATCAAAAAGGGGAATTAGGAAAAGTAGCTTTTCAATTGGATGATCATGTTTCTAGCAAAAATCAGAGGTGCTGTGGCTATAGTCAGGAGGGATAGTCTTCTTGACTGTCACATCATTTAAGAGAGTCTACGTTGTAGTGACAAGCCTCAGAGCTCGGTAGCTGGAAAGAACAAAAGTCCAATTCTTGCTGGTGAGGACTCTGGTCTTCACAACCACTTAGGAATCCAGGTGAAGAACAACCACCATCTCAAGCATTTCCTGTCACAGCACCAGAGGGGTGAAAAGGCCCTGATGGGACTTGAACAGGCAATGCAATGCCTTACTGTGTAGAACTAGCTCTGCCTTATTCATGAGGAACCAGAATGTTCTAGCCTCCCTGTGCAAAAAGGGAAAGAAGAACCAGGTGTGAAGGAGCAGCCCTGATGTCTGCCCAACCACAGGAATCTAGTGTGTGTCTCAAAGCACATTGCTGACATCTCTGCCTCCACTTCTTGTATAGGTTATAATGACTCAACTTCATAACCTTCCCCAGCTGATAAAATCATAAGTTATTGCATGACCAGGATCTAAAGAACTGGGATGGACTTGAGCTGCTAGGATGCTCTTTAGAATCCTGTGTGAGTAAAGTTCATTTGCTCTCTTTTCAGACAGACAGTCCAGACTTCCACACGGAAAGAGTCATTAGTGCAGCCCCAGGATCCCAGGGCGGCACTGAAGTCAGCGTGGAAGTCTTCTTTGAACCCAGCCATCTGGGTGAGACCAAGGGCTTCCTGATCCTGTCGTCACTTATAGGTGGCGAGTATACCATCCCCCTCTTTGGAGTAGCTCTGCCTCCCAAGCCTCAGGGCCCCTATGTGATCCGTGCTGGGTACAACATAGTGATCCCCTTCAAGAACGTCTTCCTGCATACAGCGAATTTCTCCTTCATTGTGGAGAATCCAGCCTTTGCCATCCGTGCTTCAGACTCTGTGCGGCCCAAGAAGATCAACAACATCACAGTCTACTTTGAGGGAAACACTTCAGGCAGCAAAACCCCTATCACCACCAAACTCATTGTGATGTGTTCTCAGGGGGAAAGCGGTGATAGTGGAATTAAATGGGTTTATTACCTGAAGGGGATCACCCCTTAGATGATCCCTGAGGTTACTAAAAACTTCTCACTGCTAAGAGTCACATCCACTGACACAGAAGAGAGAATAAAATAGTATTCTAAAGGAACTGTTTTGTCCTCATTTAATTACAGTGACAGTTCTTTCTGTATTATATGTTTATCTACTGCATATATGAAATATATCCCATATTAAATCAGCATATCAAAAACAGCTGTACACAGCAGAGCTACAAGATACAACAGTCTGTGAGACTCTTCAATTAATCACCAAAAAACAAGTGGAGCTATGGTTCAAGTGGTAGAGAACTAGTCTTGAGTGAAAAAGCTAATGGACAATGCCAGGTCCTGAGTTCAAGCTCCAATACTGGCACACAGGAAAAAAAATGTCAGGATACACAGAAAACCATGTGCAAGGCTCCCTGGTGGTGTTTGACAGAACTCTTGCTAAGTGTGGCATGCTAAGTCTGACCTCTCGGCACACTAAGTCTGACCACTGAGTTTTGGGGGCAACATACCTCAAGTCAGAGATTGTGACAATATTATGATGAGAGCCTGCAAGAACACCCACGAGTAGCCTCCCCAGGCTACTTATAACTTTAACCATGTTGCCCTAAAACTCCAGCTAAAATTACATTGCTGTTGGAGAAACTGCTTTGACTGGGGTACAATTTCTTACAATGTCATCAGCATCCAAGTTGTATAATGACTTTCACATAATTTGGTAGTAGCTATAATTAATAGTTATTACAGAACAGTTACATAATTGATCATAACAGCTACTACACAGATGCAGACGACTTGTATCTGCATCTTGTAAGCATGCAACCAGACATTTTAGTTGTCAACTAGTCTAGAAGAGCATGGCAGGAGCAGCCAGACTGTACACCAGGGTCAGTGAAATCATGCAGAGTAGGTAGGCGAGGCTAGCCCTGGGGCTTTATTCTCCAGATCACTGCCAATCTTATGCATAACTAGCCTTAATCAGTGGCTGTCTCCAAGAAATCAAAGAAAAGAAGCCAATTCTTTCTAGGAACTTCTGGCCTAAAGGTAGGTCCAAGCACAGGTTTGCACTTTGAATAAGAAACTGGTTTCTTAGCAACCTGATCCAGAAAGTAATTTCGAGATAAAAGAGTTCCTTCTGGTTAAAAAAAAATCTGCACTGCTTCAGTTATTAAAAACCAGATCATATTATGACCCTTGGGAAATTGCATTCACCTTTAAGAAAAAAGCCAAATCAGAAATCAAAGAAATAAATGAAATATTATATTAGATATGAATGCAATAGAAGTAAGTACACATTGAAGAAATTGAACCATATCATCCACGTTAATTTTGTTTTGCATCAACCATCACCAAATCATAAATGCATAAACTCTGCAAGACATTTGCAAATGTCCTTGGCAGTACATGTTCAAGGTAAGAGGAGAAAACTACTAAGCAATACATCCCCTAGAGATGAATCTGTGTTTTAGGAAGTTTTCATATTGTTGATACACCTTCTTTCATCAAATAGATGAATTCACAGGTTTTTCCACCTATGAATATGCCACCAGTAAGAAAGAAGACATTTTATAGATTTTTTTTCTAGATAAAATTTTTCCATGGTTTACTGAGTTTTGGATTAGCCCTGTTTTTGTTTTCTATGGCTGTGTAGCAAATTAACCATCAACCTAACAACTTCAAATAGTACATTTACCATCTCTATTTCTATTAGTTAAGAATCCAGAATGGGCAACTGGGTTCTCAGTTCAGGAACCCACACGGCTGAACTCAAGAACCACTGAATCCTTGTTTGGAGGCTCCATTAGGGCAAGATCTGCTTCCAAGATCTTCAGTGTGTTGGCGAAATTCATTTCCTTGATACTGTTGCCTGAAATCCCCACGTTCTTGTCAATTGCTGACAGGTGACTGCTCTCCAAATTAGAGACTACTGTACTTACCATCATGTGTTCACAACATGACTGTTTTACTCTTTCATCAAGTCTGTCTAGAGATTTTTTTTTCTTCTGTCCAGTCCTGGGGCTTGAATTCAGGGCCTGGGCACTGTCCCTGAGCTTCTTTTGCTAGCACTCTACCTCTTGAGCCACAGCTCCACTTCCAGCTTTTTCTGTTTATGTGGTACTAAGGAATCAAATCCAGGGCTTCATGCATGATAGCCAAGCACTCTACCACTAAGGCATATTCCCAGCCAAATTTCTAACCAAGGATTAGGTCAGGTGATTAGTTCAGGTGACACCTATATAATCTCCCCTCTCTTAACATCAATTGATTAGCAACCTTGATTACATCTACAAAATGCCTTCTGCCACAGAATATAATATAGAATATTACATGTTCTATATAGAGAGAATATAATATAATTTTTATTGTACTCACAAGGACTTGTTCACATTCAAGGGGAGGGTATTGTACAGGACATATATGTAAAGGGATGAGAATTTTTTGGGTCCATTCTAGATATCTGTCTTCCATAATCCCTTATTCATTCTGTTTCTAATCTATGAATTGAAAACAATGCTCCACTTTCAAGATCGTTTTATGTGCGTACTTTTTTTTTTTTTTTGTCAGTCGTGGGGCTTGAACTCTGGGCCTGGGCGCTGTCCCTCAGCTCTTCAGCTCAAGGCGAGCGCTCTACCACTTGAGCTATAGCGCCACTTCCGGTTTTCTAGTGGTTAATTGGCGATAGGAGTCTCACGGTCTTTCCTGCCCGGGCTGGCTTTGAACCGCGATCCTCAGATCTCAGCCTCCTGAGTAGCTAGGATTACAGGCGTGAGCCACCAGCGCCCGGCTTTATGTGCGTACTTTTAACTCATTAAAGAAGAGTACTGGGCTGGGAAGTTGGCTCAGTGGTAGAGCACTTGCCTTGCATGCCTGAGGCCCTGGGTTCGATTCCTCAGCACCACATAAGCAAAAAGAAAAAAGCCGGAAGTGTTGCTGTGGCTCAAGTGGTAGAGCGCTAGCCTTGAGATGAAGAGCTGAGAGACAGCGCCCAGGCCCAGAGTTCAGACCCCATGACCGGACCCAAAAAAAAAGAAGAGTACCATAGGTATCCAAGGCCATTCATATTAATCATTTAGGCTCCGAGGTGGTCTAGCCCCTTGTAAGTCTTATTCACAATGAAGAATTCTGGAGCATCTCCGTGTTACTGTATGTTCAAGCAAACTACCACCACAAATTGTCCTTTCCCCTGATTTTACTACAGAGCTACCCATTTACTGTGAAAGGATCGGAAGGGGCTGCTTTCCAATGGGATCCTCTAGACACCTGCACTCAGCAGATCTGGACTGTTGTCTATAACCCAAGCTTCCTGGCTGTCAGAACTTTGGAAATATACCCTAGTTTACAAGTAGTGGTGTAACTGCTGCTTGTGGTATCCAGAATTTTAGGGATGGACAGAGAGAAGCACTCTTAACTGGGAAATTTATTTTAATGTCATTAAAAATGCCCCCACGATGGGGGCGGGGGTGGGAGACATGATTTTAGAGCAAGGCAGAAAGTGAAATTTAAGGTTTTTAAAGTGAATTTATTTTAGAAAATGTTAAGTAATACTAGTGGTTAGAATACAGAGAAAATGACGGTGAGAAATACTTGCGTATACTCTGAGTCGGGCCCCAAGAACCCCTACGGTCCCACGAACGTCTACAGAAACCCACTACAATAAGTACCGAACCTACACACAACACTGAGGGTACCAGGAGAGGAGCAGGTTAGTGGGGGTGGGGGGAATGGGTGGAGCTTGATGGGTGTGTCCAATCCACCTGCGGCTTACGCGTGGGGGCGTGGCTGGAGGTGGGCGGGTCCTCACAGCGGAAGGCGGAAGTTGTTGCAGTGTCATGTGACTGGAGTAACATGGCGGCTGCCCAGTGAACGCTGCCGGTTCCGGGCGGGAGCTAGTCGCGTGAGCCGTTAGGCGGCTGAGGTCAGGGGTGAAAAAGCGGGATCCAGGCCCGGATTCTGAGACCGTGCGCGGGCGGCAGCGGAGCGAGGCAGGTGGGCCCAGGGTGGCGTGGCCCATGAGCCGGCGCCGGGGGCAGCGCGGAGCCGCAGACTTGCCTGGCCCTGGCGCGGTCCCTGCTGCCGGGGGCTGAGGAGTCGCCGCGAGGCTCCGGGGCGTACCCCGAGCTGCCACGATGAACCCCGAGAAGGACTTCGCGCCGCTCACTCCCAATATCGTGCGTGCCCTCAATGACAAACTCTACGAGAAACGGAAGGTGGCAGCGCTGGAGATCGAGAAGTAAGAGCTACTTGGGACCCGGGCTGCCCAGCGCCCCCCGGGGGGTCGGGGGTGCTTCTCACGCCTTTCAGCGATGCTGGTTACGTGCTTGCAGCCGCCTAGCGCGATGCTGAAGAGCGGGAGCTCTGCAGTCATACTGGGTGTCCCAGCCTTCCCCTTGGTTGGTTGTGATCTGGGCCAAGTTCTTTAACCTCTTGAGGCTCCAGAGGGCTGCTGCAGTGAGAATGAAGCTGGCATAATGTGTGTGTGGTACCCAGCACCGTGCCTGGCACTTGGTGAGTCCTCGGTGTGCTCTCCATCAAACCCAGCAGATCAGTGTGTGGTCTCTGATGGGAGAGAAGTCAGAAATGAAGAATTTGCTAGTGATAGGGACCTACTTGGTACTTGGTTTCTTATCCAGCTTTGAGAAGTGAAAGGAACTGTGGTCAAGTGGACCTCATGATCTTAAAGCTCAGAGGATTGCCTATCCTTCTTGCAAGTGGAAGTAGGACTAGTTTGACCTTTCTTGCTTTTCCAACACTATTACATGTATGTATAAATGTGATCTTATACTTTACTGTTTCTCAGTGCTCAAATAGGGACTTTTTTAACTGGGAATTTTTTAAGTTTTACTTTTGTGGGGGTTTTATTTACACAGTCAAATCTTAGTGATAAAATCAGGTGGATAAGGGGGCTTCAGAATAGAAAGAAGGCTGTGAAAGTAAAAGAACTTTGAGGCTCCAGATCAGGAAAAAAAATGGATTGTAGTTCTACCTTAACAAGGGTAATGTGTTTGTTTACATTTTTAAAAATAATTTTATTGAAATTATGTGATTGCATAAATTTCACAAATTTTACAGTATTGTATGATAATGATACTTAAAGTCACAAACACATTTTAACCTTCACAAGGCAAATTGCCATTATCTTGGTCTATAAAGTTTGTGAATTCCATAAGCTTTGACAATACAACTATTTCTTCCACATGGGTGATATGTACATTTCTTTCCTTTTGCTTAGTGTTACCTGTTCCTTCTTTCCCTTTCATTCCCTCCCTCCCATCACTGCCCTTAAGTTGCTTAGTTCAATTTCATCAATGTCCAGTGCAGCTGATGGGCCCCTCTGTTGTATTTTTTTCCCATTTCCCTCTGATTCTGCACCCTCCTCCTAGCTTCCCTCAGATGTGTGTATGTATATACCATATATGAGGCCATGATGGTTATTTACATTTAAATTAGCCAGAGTGGTTATGCATTCCTGTGATTGCAGCACTCTGGAGACAGAGGCAGAAGAATCCTAAGTTTATGCAGCCTGGGCTGCGTCACAACTCTTACCCCCCCAAAAAAAATAAATTATTTAAATGAAGTTTTAAAATTCCTCAGTCGGGCTGGGAAGGTTGCTCAGTGGTAGAGTGTTTGCCTCGCGTGCATGAGGCCCTGAGTTCAATTCCTCGGCACCACATAAGCAGAAAAAGCTGAAAGTGGTGCTGTGGCTCAAGTGGTAGAGTGCTAGCCTTGAGCTGAAGAGCTCAGGGACAGCACCCAGGCCCAGAGTTCAGGCCCCATGACCAACCAAAAAAAAAAAAAATTCCTCAATCACACCATCCATAGTTATTTCTAGCATAGCACGGTGTTCTGTTGAGAGCCTAAATCTATTCCCTTATTTGACAGTCATGTTTGACCTGGGGCAGATTCCTTAACTTGGGATTTTATAACCTCAGAACTGTTGACATTTTGGAACACATAATTCTTGGTTATAGAAGGCAGTTCTCTCTGTGTCTCATAAAAATTTTTACCAGTATCACTGGCCTTCTCCCGCTAGATGCCAGTAGTATTCCATCAATTGTAACAACCCAGATCATCTTCAGACATTGCCAAATATCCCTTGAGAGACAAAATTGTCTCTGGAGAACAACTGCCAAAAGTGCTTTTGATTTTAGTTTCCTCCTCAACTAAGGGGGTTTCATTTTTTAAGAAGATTCTCATTCAGCTCTAATATTGTGTGTCCACTGTATCTGTTTTTCTATTCAGGTATCACTTTCTTGACTGTTCTCTTTTTATACAACTTTCCATTTGTATCCTGGCTCTCCAGTGCTAGCAAGTCTTAATAAGGACTGCTATACTGAGTAGAGGGACCCAAAGATGATGTATGAACATGGTTGATTGTCCATGGGTTTGGTTGGTTTTGAAGCTGGCTCTGTGTGTGTGTTAGCTTTCCATTATTAAATCAAATACCTAAGATAATGAATTTATAAAGAGAGAACATTTATGATGGCTGACAGTTTTTGAGGTTTCAGTCTGTGGTTCTGTTCCAATTGCTTTTTTTTTTTCCTTTGTGCTAGTACTGAGGTTTGAACTTAGGGCCTGGGTCCTGTCCTTTCACTCAAGGCTAGTGCTTTACCACTTGAGCTACAGCCTTACCTTTGGCTTTTTGGTAGTTAATGAGAGATTCGAGTATTGTGGACTTTCCTACCCCAGCTGGCTTCAGACCACAATCCTCAGATCTCTGCCTCCTGAGTAGCTAGCATTATAGTGTGAGCCACCAGCACCTGGCTGCCCTATGGCTTTTGAGCCTTTGACCCTTAAGGCATCCTATCATAGCAGGGAATATGTGGTAGAGCAAAGCCAATCACTTTGTGGAAGGAAGAAGAGGAAGGAGGACAGTTATACTATATCCCCTTCAAAGCCATACCCCTAATGACTGGATAATTTCCCAGTCGGCCTCACTTCTTAAAAGTTTCTACTACTTCCCAGTAGTACCAAGCTGAGGACTAAGTTTAACACATGGACCTTTGGGAGACACTTAAGATCTAAACAGTAGTGTACCACCACACACTTTTGTCCTATCATCCATTTGGCTTCTCAGAAATGGCTGCTTTTGCTATGGAAGTGGAAGCCCCTTCAAAGCCAACCAGGACTAGTGAAGCACAGTGCAAACGACCAAAGAAGATAAAAGTCCCCCAGGATGTAGACATGGAGGACCTTGAAGGGGAGAGCTAAACTCCTCTACCTGGATATTCTCAGCTGGAGCCAGAAGGATTTGGTAGTGCCTTCAAAGGACTTTGGAGAAAGCATAATCCTCTTTCATTTTTCTCAGATTCCTCTTCCACAGTGGTCTGCTGCCCTTCCCTGGAAGGATGTTAGGAGGGAAAAAGGCACAGAAGAAAGATTGGAGAGCATCCTCTTTAGCAATCAAATCCATTTGTAATAAAACCCCGGAGTTTGACTGAGGCATGTATGATTAAGTGTAGAGATGGAGATGGGCTTTGAAAAGAGTATAGGTGGAGATAGGCCAGAAGCAGGATGCACAGAATTTCCTTGAACAAAGGCAAATAAAAGCCAGCCTCGCTTACTGGGCGCCAGTAGCTCACACCTGTAATCCTAGTTACTCTGGAGGCTGAGATCTGAGGATTACTGTTCAAAGCCAGCCCAGGGCCGGAAAGTCCATGAGACTCTTACCTCTAATAAACTACTCAGAAAAAGCTGGAAGTGGCACTCTGGCTCAAGTGGTGGAGTGCTAGCCTGGAGCACAAAGAGGCTCAGGGACAGTGTCCATGCCCTGAGTTCAAGCCCCAGAACTAGCAAAAAAGAAACCAGCCTCTCCAATGGCCCGGCCTCCCTAAGGAGTGACACTCTAGCTTTCCATTTCTAACAAAAGTAGAGATTATTAGAGGGGAAGCAGGTGTGGATACTGGTACCAGTCCTGCCCCTACCCCTGTGGTTTTGCCAGGTTGGGCAAATTACATTACCTCACTTAATCTTGCTTCTTTGGTTTTGATGTTTTTAATAAAATAAAGACCAAATGTTTCAAAAAAAAAAAAAAGAAATGGCTGCTTTTATCCTGGCTTGAATTATGTGCTGGGTCCTTGAACAAAGGTATTCATCTCAGCATTATTGCTGCTTCCAACACAGCCTGTGCAAGAGTTCTCACCTTGCAGGTGGTTCTGTATGGGCTTTGTCCTTAATGGGATTCATTTTGTGTTCATCTTACCCTTGATTTGTGAAATTCAGAGAAACTCCCTACCTAGAGCCTCTACTAGACTTTGAGCTCCCTAAGAACAGAAACCCTATTTCTTTTTCCTCAGCACTTGACAGAGTGCTTAGTGCCATTTGATGTGTGGTGTCCATACATAACATTTTTGGTAGAGAAAATAATATTGCACCCTAAGGACTTTGTTATTCAAACAGCAATATCAGGAGCATGTTAGAAAAAGACTCCAGCTTCACATGAGCCAGATCTTCACAATCAACGTATATACTTTAATGAGATCCCTGGGTGATTATTGCACATCTTAAAGTTTGAAGAGTGCTGTTCAGCCAGATGCTGGTGGCTCAGGCCTATAATCCTAGCTACTCAGGAAGCCGAGATCTGAGGATCACAGTTCGAAGCCAGTCTGGGTAGGAAAGCACATGAGACTCTTATCTCCAACTAACCACCAGAAAATCAGAAGTGGCACTGTATCTCAAAGTGATAGAGTACTGGTCTTGAGCTGAGCGACAGCACCCAAGCCGTGAATTCAACAACAACAACAAATCTATTCTATACATAGAATATTGTATATTTGAATATCGTCTTCATATGGCCTGGTCAAAGTGGCCCTCAACCAGATCTCTGCCAACAACCTGTAAAGAAAATGTCAGAATATGGACAGTTGCTTGTGTAGCTGACATGAGTCAGCTCACATGCTTCAGAAATAAAAATGTGTAATACTGTTCTTGGCTGCCTTCGATGCACCCTGTTTCTTAGGAGGCCACATGATGGTAGGGGAAGGGCCCTTGAGTTGCTCTCCTCAATGACCTCATCTGTAGAATAAGAAGAATATTCATAAGATTATTTGATCACCTGCACTAATGTTGTAAAGTGCTTAGTACAATATCCAGCATGTTATAATTGTTATATACTATAGAGAGACAATTGTTCTAATTCTTTGTAATTGTCAGTACTGTTTTTATTACTTTTTGGTTGGCAGAATAATGGCCTCCCCAAGATCCCTAATCTCTGGGCCTGAGAATCTGCCATTG